AAAAAAAAAAAAAAAAAACCATTTAAAGAAAAAGTTTGGGAAGGTATTTGCCACATTCAGTAATTTAACACTCAAAACTGAGAACAAAGACCTCTATTTGTACTGGAGAATGTTAGATACTCCTTTATAACACTCTAGGCGCTCACTGTATTTTCTCCTTGAAATGATCATTTCCCCTCAAATGCAAAAATTTAAAAAACCCTTTATACTAAGCATCTGCAAAAATGGTTTGAAAATAAATTCATGTTCTGACAGGATTAATGGAAGTATTTTTAGAAGGGATTAAACCTAACTGCTTTGTGTTTGTTCACCCATCTAGTGATTCGAAAGCACAGCAAAGTTTTTGCACAGTATACTTATCATCTGGTAGAAAACAGGAATATCAACCATTTCAACAGCTTTAAATAATCCCGTGATGCAACTTATAATATAGTTACAGTTTAGAACAAAGGATTGAAAGTTCCTACCCCATTACCTTACTCCATCAATTATTATGAACTGTATATTCTCCAATTTTAAATGTTTATTTTAATAACTTTATAGTCAGTGTAAAACCCTACATTCTGCTTTGTCTATAACCTTCTTTCCCAGATTCCTACAATATTAACTGTCAAATTCATTCTTCATAATTCTGTAAATGAGGTATTATTGGCCCATGTTGCAGATGATTAAAATAAAGTCCAGACATTCCATAAGGAGGGCAAAATTCAAGTTCACATGTTTGTAAGAGTGTCCCAAAAGTCACCCCTAGCCCAGTGTGGTGGCTCACACTTGTAATCCTAGCACTCTGAGAGGCCGAGGCCTGACAGGTGTGTCAGGTGCCACAGCTACTTGGGAGGCTGAGACAAAAGGATCATCTGAGATCGTGAATTTAAGGTTGCTGTGAGCTACGGCACTCTACCAAGGGTGATAAAGTAAGACTGTCTCACAAAAAAAGAAAAAAATTACCCCTAAAGCTGCCCTACATATAGCAAATGGGAAAATGTGACTAAATGTACTTTTATTTACAAAATATTACAAAATTTAACAAAGAGGTAGCCAACATGTAGAGAATACTTTGTAAATACTTGGTAAAATTCTGTAATGACTATTTTATAAATAAAGGTACTTTAGCTATAATTTCCTATTTTTCCTCTGTATGACAACTTTAGGGGTGACTTTTGGGATGCCTGGTAGCATATCATAATCTCAATAATTCAGCTGTCTTAGCCAGA